ACCGCCACCCACCTCCGCCACCGCCGCCCCCCGTCTGCGCGGGCCGCCACCTCACCATTCTTCTTCGACTGTCGTTTTTCTTCTAGTAACATATATAATGTTATATTAATATACTTATTTAATATATTTAATATTATTATTTATTTAATATTTAATATTTTAAATATTATTACATGTTTTCAAAAATTAAACCACCAAACACAATTTCAGTTTTTTTAAAACTGAAAACAATTGCAGAATAAAACTACCAAACGTATTTTCAGAAATGATTCCAAAATGAAAATAAAAATGTTTTCATTTTCATTTTCGTACAGAAAACAAAAACGTTTTGAAACCAATTTCAAACTCACCCAATGCATCTCATTTGGAAGAGAAAATAGAAAAAAGGTTTTGAAAGCTTTTACCAATGAAAAATACTATACAAATTATGAAGTGTCATGAATGTCTTTTTTTAGCTATCGATTTGTGTTGGTTTCCACATGGGACTTATGTGTGAGGTACTTGCTTGTATATATCATACTTTCACTAGACTAGCCACTCATGGATAGGGTGGATGGGGAATGCAAGGATAGGGGCATTCTAAGATATTTGTGTAACATCAATGAGATAAAAGTTTTCATCAACAAGACCCATAGTGTAATTAGCAACAAAATTATTTGAAAGAAAAAATGAGTTGTACTTCCAAGCACCATTTATTTAGTAACATGGACCCTGCCTTAGGTCTGCCTAATGCCTACCCACAAAACTTCACCTCGCTTTTGCTTTCAAGAAATGTTCACAAAAAGTAAAAGGGCATCTTTTTCTTTTTTTCCTTTTTTTTCCCCCTTCCCTCAACTAATTCAATGGAGGAAAAAGTTAGGAGAACTCCGACTAGTATATTTAAAAAAAAAAAAAAAAAAAAAAAAAACTACCGAAGAAAAGAGTTGTAAAAGGTAAGATGACATCAGAATTATATTGAACAAAAAAGTTCTATAATTTGATGAATCTTGATAAAAACTTAACATTTGCGAACCTTGTCTACTATTGGGATTTTTTTTTCTTTACCCTAAAAGAGAACTCTCCAAAAGGAAATTGGAATGCTAAAAAAGAATTAACAGCAAAAAGTTAGGGTTTCCTATTTCTTTGTACAATAAATTTTATCAAGACTGGACCCTCCAGTCACTCAAAACTTTAGCATGTATGAGTTTTCAAAGTGACTGTGTATAGAAGTGGGGGGTTGGGATGTTGGATTGCTCAGCAACACAGAAAAGGAGGTTTTATGACAACTTTTGTGATTGTACAGCCATTTTCAAGAGAGGACAAGACATGAATGAGTGGGGAAGGGCCAAAGGCCCATGGGGGTGTGTCAGGATGGTGTCAAAAACTGTCCAAGACAGTGTTGAAATTAGAAGACTCCTCAGCAAATTGGGATTTGCATAATTGTAGATGCACCAACAATGGGCATCTCTGGATGTTTCTTTGATGGATTCAGTCACTTTATTTGTTAATAAATTCATTTATTTATTTTGGTGGGTCGGGATGATTTAATGGAAAGAAGAAAAGGGGAAGAAAAGTTCTGCAATCCTGTGGGGTTTTTTTTTTTCTAGCTTTTTGAGCTTGCAATAGTGGGAAAATTGTACTATGATTGTGATTAGTGCTAATTTTAGTTAAAAGGTTACAGTTTTAGTAAGTGGATGTTACGCATTTCCCATAGTTTCATCACATCGACATGTGTTTGGTCCAATCACATACCGTGTTACATAATAGTTACTGCTGAAACTTTGGACGGGCCGCCTGCGACCGTCTAAAAATACCGAGTTTTTACCCGAGCCCGTGCCCAACCTGTCCAAAAAATTCGGGCCGCCCGCCGAGCCCGAAATGCCCTTAAACGGGCTGTGGGCTTATATTTGGCTGCCCGAACCCGGCAGGGCCGCCCGAATAGCCCGAATTTTTTTAATATTTATAATTATTAAGTTAGTTTGTGTTAAAATTATATAAAAATCAAAATCAACATTCAACAGACGTTATTAACACAATTGAATAAATTAATCATGTATATTAATGATGTATATTAAATTCATAATTCATGATTGCATCGTTAAAAACCTTACTAAGAAAAACCCAATTGGGATAAAAACTTGGTAAGGAAAAAAGAGTGCAATCATTTTGTAACGAATTACAAATTTTACAAACTTACAAAGTTAGACAATTACAAATAAAATGTCAAAAGTAAATACATATTTACAAATTACAAATTTACAATTTAATTTACAGCTGAAAGATCGTCTTCAAAATTAAATGTTAATCGATTAAATTCATCGATCTATTCTTGGCTTGCCGGCGAAATTGTATCCTGTAGATGTTAATCGGCCCGATCTCAATCCTTAATGTAAACCAAGGCTTCAACAATATTCCTTTGGAATGCATTCCGGCGTTCCTCAAGTATTCTTCCTGTACGGGGGATGAGGGGTATTTATAGGGAAATTCTTGGGTTACAAAATTGATTGTTTTTCAAAAAATTCGAGGTGCAACGGCTACTTTAGGTTCGGGTAAAAAACTAGCCATTGGATGAGTTTTCGGGCATGTCGGGCATTTGGACAAAATTTAGGTTTTCGGGCAAAATTCGGGTCAGGGCACCAACGGTCTGAATTTTGACCCTTTTCGCGATTTTCGGGCGGGTTGGGCAAATCGGCCTTGGCCGGAAAAATTCAAAAAAAACTCCGACGGACGGCAGTTGACGGCACCTACATAGCGGCGGGCTCCGGCGAGGTGCCCAAATTCGGGCTGCCCAAGCCCGAATTTCCACTTTGGATGGCCCGACATATGGGCTTGCCTGCCGAGCCCAAAAAATTCGGGCAGCAGGCCTGTATGCCGAGCCCAAAAAATTTAGGCAGTAAGCCTGCCCATCGGCCCAAAGTTCCACCACTAATTATAGCATGTACATTGGTTAATTGCATGTGAATTATTCAGAGTAAATTGCATTGTTGCTTTCAAATTAATTGTTTTTTGCTTAATCGATTCCAACCTTTAATTTTAGAAAAAACATACTCTGAATTTTAAAATTATTTGTAATTAAAGTTTAATAATTAATGATGTTATCAAATTAACCAACCATTCGAAATATGAGACTTGCAAGTATCATAGTTTAAAAGATAATGATTCTTACTTTTCACGAGCGAAGCTTGTGTTGCTTGCTACTTAATTTAAAAGTCAGTGTGTATTTTGTAATTTACTAAATAATTTATTATGCTATTATCTTTTTTTAAAGGATTTATTATCTTTTAAGGAAAGAATAAACGGATAAATAAACAATCAAAATCAAAGAGGTCCAAAAAGAGAACAATTCCCTTGGTTTACAATCTTTTGATATATGTAATTTATGTATCGACTTGAGGTTTATACAATAAAAAATAATTCTCTCTTTCTATAAGATATTTAAAATTTCTAAAAAAAAAGAACTGAATTTTTTTTTTTCTGTTGAATTATCTTTTTAATATTTTGATATATGATTGGAAATAGTTTTGCATCGTACACTTCATTTTTTTTTAAACAATGTACACTTTAAAAAGTTTTAACATGAATACTTATAAATTAGACAGTTTAAAAATTAATTTAAAATAACACAACTTATTGATAAAGCAAAAGTACAGTTCTGATCATAAGCGCTCCCCTTTTAAATCCACTGCTGGCTCATATCTTTTTAAGCTTTTACAAAATCTTTATAGTTTTCTTTTGCTCAATCAAGATATTGATATAAAGAGGAGATTTTGTTTTTTTTTTTTTTTCCCTTTTTGATGGAAAAACAGAAGAGCTCGTTCAACACAATTTCCAAGGACAAACTATCCATCAATCTAGTGTAGGATAAATATGTGGGCACGCATTAGCTAATAATCAGTTCAAACCTAAGGAGATGTTAGGACTGACTTATCCAATCCTACTTCTTGTCCAATGTACTAAACACAACCTTAATAATAGTAAGAAAAGTGAGAAAAGTGAGAAAAGATATTAGACACACAAAAAGTCTCTTTTCCAGACAAATAATTTTAGAGGCAATAAGAATCCATATAAACCCGACTTCTTATCAGAAGAGCCCATCACCACCTCAAAAGCGATCAAACCAACGAGGTAAGACTTGATCCCCGTATCTATTTAAGAAGAAGACTTAAAAAGAAGGGCCTAGAAGCAAAATCAAATACACTTTCAAACTTTTCATTTTTTTTATGTAACACTAAAAATTTACTCTACTAGTTAACTTATAAATATCATTATAAAATATGTATGATAATATGCGCTCATATGAAAGAATGATATGTTCTAAAATAGAAATAATAAAAGATACACACACCTTATAGCGATGATTTCAAATGTTAAAAACTACTTTATATCTCTTTACAGAGCCAACTTGGTACAGAATCAAATAAAATCGCTCGTGCTAATAAGGTCAACGAGAGGGTGGAGGAAATTACAAGCACTTTTGTTATTATTTTTATTTTTATTTTTTCCAATTTTTAATGAAACCCACTCGAGTCTCATCACTTTTTCTTTTTTTTTCCCTAAAAGAGGTAGTAGTAACCCCCGACACAAATTAGAAGCGATTGGACATCGAACTATGGTAAACTTTCTAAATTATTGGCAAACCAACAACACAACAAAATCAATAACAACAAAACAATAGGAAAGCTACTCTTCTCCTTCTTCTTCTTCTCCTTCTTCTTCTTCTTCTCCTTGCTGTAGTACTACTACTAACAAGAGAGAAAAACTGTCCCATTGCAAAAACCAACTTGGGATTCGGGAAAACCAAAAAAGAAGAAGAACCAATAGTCATAAGTGACCCGTTATCAATGCCCATATAGAGATATTGTACTCACTTTGATTTCCCAAAAAGAACCCAGTAATTTTTTTTCCCTTTTTTCTTTCTCTTTTCTCTCTGTATTTTGTTGTGTTTCTCGCTCAGGGTTCTGTGGAAACATGCCGAGGCCAGGCCCGAGGCCTTACGAGTGCGTGAGGCGAGCTTGGCACAGCGATCGGCACCAGCCCATGAGAGGCTCCGTCATTCAGCAGATTTTCAGGTTCTCGGTGTGATTATTCTTTGTGGGGTTTTTGTTTTTTCTCTGTTTTTCCTCTTTTTTTTTTGTTCACTTTTGGCTGATTTGGTTATTGCCCAACATATGTTTGATTAGGGTTGCCAATGAAGCGCACAGCGCAACGACTAAAAAGAACAAGGAGTGGCAAGAGAAGCTGCCCATTGTGGTCCTCAAAGCGGAGGAGATTATGTACTCCAAGGCCAATTCCGAGGTTTTTCCGATCGGCTTTTCACTTTTTCGTGCTCTGAGTTTGGCAGATCTTTGATTGAATGTGCTTTGTTTTCTGTTTTCCACTTTACTCATTTTGTGTAGTTTCGACTAATTAGGCCGAGTACACGAATCTAGACACACTATGGGATAGAGTAAACGACGCGATTAATACGATAATCCGGCGAGAGGAAACAACCGAAACCGGAGACCTTTTGCCGCCCTGTGTTGAAGGTAATGGCTTTAACCATCCGTTTATTGTGTTTCTGGCTGTTTATGCATAATAGCTTGTAGAAGTAGTTCAAAATGAATGTCTTAGAGGTGTATTGTTTTCGTGTCTTTTGTTGTTCAGCTGCTCTTAATTTGGGTTGCATTCCAGTAAGAGCTTCGCGAAGCCAACGCCACAGTAACCCTAGGACTTACCTTACCGCAAGAGCACATGAGCCTTTCTCCGCAGGTACTAGAGTTTTGGATAGGACTAGCGATGAAAGACGCCCTCAGTTATTGCCACTTCACTCGGGGAACCAATTGACTTTTGCAAGAGCCCCGATTGCGAACCCTGCGAATTTTCTTTCCGAATCTAACACCCATGTCAACCGGAATAATAATAACCTCACTGCTCCTCGCAGTCATGCATTTTCGCCTGAGAATGTTGTCTCTGGCCATAGTCAGGCAACAACAATTGACACGAATGCCTCACTGAACTTGGGTTCAGTATATCCTTTGTATCATGGGACAAACTATCGAACTGAAAAGTACCATTCAGGCTCTCCTATCCCAGAAAATGTACATTCTAAGACGATTTATGTTGGTACGCCAGTTGTTACACCGGCTGCAACTGCTGAGCCGACTATGCAGGATTGTTTTACTCGAGTGGATGCCATGGGCACCCAAGAGAACCCACAAGAAGCAGAATGCGATTTGTCTCTGAGGCTGAGTTTATTTTCCAACCCATTTGGTAGAACCCAGAAAAATTTTGCAACTGAAACGGAAGATGTTGGTTCCAGCAGCTCTCAGGACGCGGGCAAAGTGAATGATGTGCGACAGTCAATGGGCAGAGAATTCTGTTTCTTCCCAGGCAAGTCTGCTTGTGATCTCTCTGAATCCAGTTCAAGAATGTGGAATTCAGGGGGTGAAGGCCAGAATTTGGAGGCCTTCGTAAGGAAGGGTAAGGAAACATTTAGTAGCAATGAGAAGGATGGGCAATTTTGCTGGCAACCAGGTGTCCCATCCAACTGGTTTCGTAGGTGAATCACCGTGCCAGGTTTGTAGGCGATTTTTTCCCCTTGCTGTTGTAGTGTATATGTTTTCAAATGTGAGGTTTCCCATATCTCTTGTTGAGTCCCTCTGTGATAACTTTATTTTATTGTAGAATCGATTGTGAAATCTTAGAAGTTGATTTTGAGATGCAAGCTTCAATGGTTGAAAGATGCAAGTTACTGAGTTGTAAATGGAATGTGAATTTTATTCTCATTTAGTTATTAATTAACAAATGCCTTGACACACGATTGATCCTTTGTACTCCTTTACAACATCTAGTCAGAAGTGAAAGTGAAAGAAAAGAATTTTGTGGATGATGACACGAATCTTAAAATGATGGAAGATTATAAACTTATTGAGTTAACGTACTCTGGTCTATGTTGAAACCCGTCTCAGAAGAAGTTTGTATGACACGTCATGGTCCTTGCGAGAATTTTTATAATAAATAGCACTTAACTTGTGCATTAATTAGCATACATAATGAACTTTCAGTTTTTAGCTTATATTTTGAGTCTTGACTGATAACTCTGTAGTATTAAGTTTGAACTTCCAACAGACTAAATCAAATTCTCTTGCTTAATATGCTTTTGCTAATATACATACATACATATACAAATACAGATATATATATATATATATATATATATGTATATATATGGAATGTTCTTCAGGCACAGGTTGTTGTATTAAGGCCAGATAAGCGAGTTTTTTCGTGTGTGTTTGAGTCTTTGTTACTCTATGATTTTTTCATAACTTTGCGAGTGTTCTCTAAATGACTAAACAAAGCATGTAGACTTTTCATGGGTGAAGTGTAGTGTGAAATTGTTTGAAGATTATACCAAGGAATTTATTTATTTTGGCTGAAAATGCTTCAATGATTCTCTGCTGAAATTTGTTTTTTGGGGGATAAGCCTCTTGATATATGTTACTCTGTGGGTCAAAGTGCACGAATTGGGGTCTTTAAGTATTCCTGTTAAAAGTCTTAAATTTTGTGTCTAGTGTCCTGTGGAGGTTAGAGATGTCTGATTTTACTATAGGTACAACCTGACTTTCCTGGTCATTTATGCATTCGGGATTAGTTTTTATGCACTTTTGGTCTATGGTAATATTTGAAGTTTTCACAGATTAGTTTGTAGTGGGAAAAAAGAAGGGGGAGACACAAGCATTCTGATCTACACTTGCTGTTTTCTGTTGGAAATGTTTTACCAGAGTCCTTGCAGGGTTGAATTCTTCTCTTGTAATTATGAGGTACTCGTGTCTATTGTTGCAGAAACTGCCTGGTTTAATGGTTATGGGGTGAGGGAATCATTGATTTCATTTGAAATTTATTGATTAATTGTAGGGCAATACTTGATATAATATTAATCTTTGACATGTCTTTTTGTTTTTGTTTTTGTTTTTTTGTTTTTGTTTTTGTTTTTTTTTTTTGTTTTTTTGGAGGACAGCAAAGTTTTCTCAAACAAAAACATCTGATTCCCTATTCCTAAATGCCCTCCAAAAGTTTGATGCTTGGTTTGGATGCCTGAAGTCTGCTAAGCAAGAAAGAAGAAAATAGGAAAAAAAATAACACTGTTTTGAAGTATCATTTATGCCTGAATTCCCCATTGGGAAAGAAAGAAAAATCTGCATAAGATGAGTTTTAAAAACAAATCCAACAACCTACTTGTTGTAGCATTTAATATTGTATCCAAAAAAAAAAATCACACGAAAAGTCAGGTACTTAGTGGTCTTAAACTTATTTAAGATTGGAATGATCATTAAATAGCCAACCCCACTTTCCCATTTCTTCCCTTTACCTTAGAAAGCCTCATTCCGTTTCATTGTTTGCTTACTGATAAAGTTCTTACCTCTTCTCCAACAACTAAGAGAGACTTTCACAATTTGAATCATAATGTAACTTTTTTGTTACAGTATTTTCTCTCACGAAAATTTGAATTTAATTTAAGTTTTTCATTCGACCCGAAAAAAGAACGGGGCCTCACATTTCTTGTTTCAGTAACGACAATTGACAAATGCCTTTTCTATGACATCACAAACCCATATGAGTGTTAAAAGCACATCAGTCATGACCTTGTTTGGTTTTGCTTCTTTTCAATATTTGCTGCATTGTTTGAGCGTACGAGCAGTGAAGTGCTGTAACATGGCGACATAGAGGCGTCCATATCAAGAAAAAGATTGTCCATGATGCAGACAACAGCAACAAAAGCCGCTTTGGTGAGCCAACGGTGATGATTTTCTTATAAGTGGTGGCCAACGGTTCAGATGAAGGTGCTAGAACCATCCAAATGGAGAATCTAGAATTAAAACTGATAGTTACAACAATCAGTCTCTGGCATTATATAGCTACAATCTATGCATCTCTATCGACCAGTTGTATATGCTTGTTCTTAGTCCGATAGTGGAAATTGTAGATATTTTGACCCTTTTGTTTTTGGTGCTAAAAGTTTATGACGCCTCTTAAATACTAGAGATTTTTTTTTTTTTTTTTTCATTAATACAATGTTCATATTGTTTAAATCAATACGGTAGTAAATTAATACAATTTATGATGTACTACCTAGTACAAATTATTTTTGTTGTATCGTATTGTCTTATTTTTCCAACTTGTTTATATTATATTTTTTCTCCTACTTCTCTACCTTCTCCAGTGCTTTTATTAGAAATGTTGTGTTCCCAGTTCTCTATAGTTTCTGGAATGCTACATTTATCCTTTACGTTTTAAAGTAACCCGACCTTTTGTTTTTACTCATGCTTTTTTGCATTCTACGTTAAATGTTTTTTGGTCTAATTCTTTGTCGTCTTTTATTAGTGATTAATAAAAATTTCTATATACCTATCCCGCGATTTCTGAATTCTAAACAGAGTTGTAGTTATCAGCTAATCAGATCAGCCATCGTTCGTTTTGTAGAGGGCAAAATCTATGATTGAATTTATTTAGGGTCAATGATAATCTAGATGATTTAGAGAGTTAGTATCGCGATTGCAGTAAATAAATTGCAGAAAATAAAGTAGAGATAGAGACACAAAGTATTTATAGAGGTTTGCTCGTTGATAAGAGCCATGTTCTGTAGGGTTTTCAGATATTCTACTATAATTATTGAATAAAAATCAATGGTAACAAGTGCAAAAGGAGAGAGAAAAAAGAAAAAAAAAAATCAAGTGAATAACAAAGAAAATATTGATTTTGGAGAAAACTAGAATGTGAGTAGAATTCCTTGGAATGTTTGTAGAACTCACATGTGTGCAGGATGCGCATAGGTAGGTGTGGAATACGTGAAGATCTTTTCTTGGTCGTAATGGATGCCCCTTTTACCAGCCTTGATCTGGAATCCTTGTTGGAGAAGGATTCCTTTTTAAATTTCAAATGCTCATCTTATCCTATTTGAATAGATGACTTGGAGATAAAATAATATCCTTTTTGGGTTGCATTTATGCCCTTTAATTGTGATATTTTGCTGATTCTATGGAAAGAATTGTGGAATAGATTATTCATTATTCAAATTAGGGATTTTGAGGCGGTGTGGTTGGTGGACAACTCGTCAAATGAGCCGCTCATTTCACCAGGCGGCTATCGACTTGATGAGTAGTCTGTTATCTATTGAAAACTCGTTTGACGATTTATGATCCGTGAGTCATCGGTGACTCGCGACTCATTCTAACGGCTGCTTTTGTGATTGACCTGCATTCTCTGAGACATATATCGATACGTGTATGGTGAGAGATGGGTTCGAAATCTAACCTCAGAAATATTGAATTTCGCATATTTCCGTAATGGCTAAGTTGGATATAACCGAGCAAAAAATATAGTTGCATACATTCCGTCACCGAGATATGGAGCTTGGTGACCTATTAACAACACAATGTACGTTGTAGTATCTAATACAATTCATTTTCAATGTAATGTGTGCATTATTTTATCTTGTTTTATTTCACTTTTCTATTATATTTATATTTATATTTATATTTATTTTTATTTTTATTTTTTAGCAATGTTAGTCCTTGGACTATTAGCATTGTGTTAATTTGAGTTTTTGATATTTTTAGTCATTGCCACTGAAATTAACGAAGAATTTATGAAATTTAACAGAGATAGTCACATTCTTATTGCACAGCAACAAAAAGTTTAACGAAACTAGTTCTATTTTTGTAAGGATTTTAACAATAATGAAAAGTATTTTACATTTAATATAACTATTTTTTTTAATAAAACTTTCAATTACTATATGAGTGGGAGGCGGTTATCTCTCTTAAATTTTAGAAATCTTTTGTCAATTATAGAGTCAATGACTAAGAAGATCAAAATAATCAAAGTTCACAGAGGACAAAAATTTTACAGACCAATGTCACACAATGATCATAGTTGAGGGATTAATTTGCTAACAACTCTTCCATTTTACTTATAAAAAAAAAAAAATCTTTCATTTTTCTTCTATCTCTGTACCTTCAACCATGTTCTTTTTGAAGATAATAACAAAACCACCTGAATGTTTTTCTGAAATATTTGTGTTTTACCTTATATTTTTCAGGAATG